GGTCGCAATGAAATTTTACGGCCCGGAAGACTGCCGAAGACTTGGAGGAGAGACTTCGATTAGCGACGACTGATTATCGCCCCCCATTAAGGCACGCTCTCACTTTATTATCGTCGTTAGCTGCGAAACTTGGAACGTGCGCGGGGTGTTCAGCGCTCGCTGGATCCGGCCGGCACCTCGCGGCGCCCATGTAGAACCTCGGACCAGTTGTTCACGTCCCTCGTCGCGCGTCCATTGTTCTTTTTCTCCGGCGATGGTGTGACACGAACACGGCGTATCCCCAATGTTCTCAGAATTCACGTACGCGTCATAAATAGTACCCTGCTCGCACTCCGCCGTCTTCTGGTCTTTCTCTCCTTCGGCTTTGGCGCGCGGACCGACGTTTTCCAATATTCCGAACTGCACTGATTCCATCTGGGGCCCCTCCGAAGCTCCTCCGACGTTGCTGTTTTTCCCCTCCTCCTCCCGCCCGTCTGTGCTTCTTCGTTGAGTCTCATGTATCGATCGACGCGTGTATATGAGTTCTTTTTATGCCTTCAAATCGCCTTACGCTGCTGCGCGCTGGCGAATGTTACGCAGATGTGACGATAATAAGTAACGCAACGGTAATTCTTAGATACATTGCGAGATGCTGGCGCTCTCGATAAAATTTAATCTTTTATTAAACTATTCATGCATCAACCTTCGTTCCGTCGACAAGTTTGTAGCGCTCTTCTTCAATTGCGGTGGCGTAATCACAGTTTATTCTCTGCACTTTTGCCAGTTTCTGATACATCGCTGTACAAACAACTTCACTTCGATTTATTATTCTAGATATACGCGATTTATCTACTTGCAATAAATCGCGTTACTTACGCATAAGCAGTTCTAATTCCAAGTTCGATTCGATGTACTTGTTTACAAGAAAATATTCTTCTTGGACGCGAAAGCAAAATCGTCCGCGCGCAATAATTTCGAGGAAACCCACTCGAGATAACTTCTCGTCATACGGATCCATTCCGTTGAATGGAATTGGCGCCAAGCATTTTACGAGGGTGCGCGCGCACCGTTGCCGTAGTCGGCATGGGACTGTTGTGCGTCGACCTTTACCTAACAACCCTCCCGCATTGTAGCCACCTCGCTTCCTCTTGCTGCAACCATCGCGGCAACCAACCCCCGTCGCCAACCCTGACCTGATTTATGAGATTCTGGAAGCGTCTACTCTACCGACGCGCGTTTTCGGTCTCTCTCTCTTTCTCTCGTCTCCCCCTCCACCCTGCCGTCCCCTTCTTCGCTCCCGCGTAGACAGCTGGCTAGTGTTTCCACGGACGCACGTACACGGAGACGCTCCCGCACGTGGAATTCTCGCTGCGTTTCGTTCATTTCCGTCCTTTTGTCCGCGCGCTCGCGAAATGCGAAAACTTATTTCGGTACGTGTCTCACGATATGCATCGAGAGCAGCGTCCTAATTAGTCGAGCGATGGGCATTCGAATCGCGAACCAAATACGATTATTGTCATCTTATCAATTTACGTTGGTCGGAACGTTACCGGACGCGGTTGTCTTTCAACCGGAACGACATCATCTCTCTTTCATTGTCGTTTCGAAGTGTGTTATTTTTCTGCCCGGTACATTAAATTGATACTTGCGAAACATTTGTATGACATATGCAGAATGCTATTGCGATATTAACGTAATGCCATCTGCACTCTTTGAAAAAAAATGCGCACTGTCGCGCGACACTCACGTTTGACGTTTAAAGTATATCGAAGCAGCACACAGTTTATTTTGCCGCGCGGAAACATTTCACATCCTCAAGAGCGTAAACTTCGACTCGACCGACGTGTTTGACGTAGTTTTGACGCAATTAAAGCAACGTCGAATCCGAATAAACTTTTCACCGCGAAAGATTAAACTCGCCTTTTCACCATCGACGGCGTCGCTCACCGTCGAGCGGAGCGAAATGCCGCGGCCAGGAAAAATCCAATTTTAGGAACAATTCTGCGCGCGCAGAGCTGACGTTTAGCGGGAATTTCTTCGTCAACAAGTAAATTTTCTTCGCCCAGGGAAAAAGAAAAAAAATATATATTTCCACGGAGGGCTGGGTGTCACACAAAAGCCGAGTGATTTGTGACGTTCGCCATTCTTTTGACCGCTCGGCAAGGTTTGCCCTCTCCGCACCCCCTCCTCCTCCGCTCGCCCCGTCTCTTGTTCGCCGTCTTGCTCGTAGATATGGCCGAGTAATATACGAGCCCTGCATCTGTTCCCCGAGTGACGCAACGTCCCGCCATAGATCACACCCAGGCTTTTAGAGAGTGAAGGCTGTTAAGGAGAGCGTGCGAGTGAGAGGGCGACCGGGGGAAAGGAGATAGGGCGAGACGCCACGCGGAGCGAGGAAAGAGAGGGCGAGAGTAAGATTGAGGGAGGAAGAGGGAAGGAAAGAGTGACAGGGTGACGTACTGTTACTGTTAAACTCGCCTGCACGTAAAGAAGAGCATGAGCAGGAGTGCGGCTGCCTCTCCAGCGTGTCGTGGCACGAGGGGCGAGGGGAACGAGGGAGGTTGGAAGTGGTTGCTGGTGGAAGACCATGGAAGGTGGACGCGGACGTCGGTGCTGTTGTAAAGGGACGTACAGACTTGGATCGTGGATCAGGGAGACGAATGTAGTGTGTTCCTAAAAACGTGCACTTAGTCGGGACTCATTAACGCGATCGTACTGGCGATTGTATTCGAATTGATTGCCCCGACGCGATGGAGAGGAAATGTTAAAACGCTTCGGACGATTTAACGCGCTGTCCTATCTTAGGGCATTTGTAGAATATTTTGATGCGATGTGTTGTTTCCGCTCAGTGTTCAGCACTTGTAAAATTTCTGACATGTTTATTACTAGAAAGAAGAATAGAATAGGAAATATAACTTTGATGCTGATAGATTGTCTACAATCACGTATTTATAATTAAAGATTTTTATACGTTTCATTAATATGAATATAAATAGAATGTACGAGATAAAATTTTATTTTCATAATTTTCTATATTTTTAGGATTTGAGATTAAAATAATTTAATAATAAATTTAAATAATTTTAATTTATAAGTTTCAATCACAGCTGTTGTTTTTTTTTTAATTATCTGCCGATATTTATATTAAATTCAAGCTGTTTTAGTTTTAGAAGATACTTAAATTGTAATCGCAGCAACAGGAGAGAATTTTTAGAGTAATTGGACGAGAAAGAGACTATGTCAACTCTTTTAGATATAAATATCGATCTTGCTCATCAAGCCGGGCTTATTAGCATAATGCCATCGAAGATGAAGAAAGAATTCGGCCGCCGTTGCGTAACGAGCGAATAATCTGTAATTGGCGAGTAGCTGCCGACTCGCGTCCCGTCGCTCGAAGAATATCACGGTAAATCAGTATGCCGGCTGAGCGATATATTGCCGGTATATGGGTTAAGGAATTTCCTCGCGTGAAGGGCCGAAGGTGGGCGGTGGGAGGGCGGCGGGGGAGGAGAGGAGCGGGGTACAGAGGAGTGAAAGAGGGCGACGGCGTTACGATACAGTACGCCTCTGGCGCACCGACGTAGAAACCATTGAGGCGAGATATACGAGCGAGAGTTTGTTTGCGCTTATGGCCTACGTCTGGAAAAGGGAAGGTGCGACGTGGGTTGTGGGGGGGGAGGACAGGGGCAGGGTAGGTTGGCGTTTTATCGGGGCACCCTTATGCCTATTATGCCTTCGCGCCCCGCACCGTCACGCCATGCAGCACCCCCGCGTCCTCTTCCCCTGTTTGGCAACCCCCCTCGTCCTCTTCCTACCCCCTTCCCACCCCTCTGCCGGCTGGGTGACGCGGCGTGCGAATTAAAACGCCTCATAAATATCTGAAACAAAGGCGGCCGCTTTCGAGGGCGTACGCCAGAGAGATATACGGCTGGTTACGATGGTCGGTACACCGGGTGGTTAAGGGATAAAGAGGGGGAGGGTGAGGGGACGCGCGACTGCGAACGCGGGACGCGATCCTAGGTTTGGCACCCTTCGTAAAAACCCGTCAAGAAGGGTGGCGCTCTTTCTCCGGAGAATCACGAGAGCACCGCCGTCGTCGATTGGAAAACTCGTCGTGAAAAAGCGTGGATTTTCTTAGTAGCGATCAGTGTTTGGCGGGCAATATATCACCCACGTATTCAATATAAGCTGTCTTAAAAGTTGCACTTTTTTTTTCTTAGAACCACGTACATCGGAAGTTAAACTAAGAAGAATGACGGTTGTATACAATATACAAAGCGTCGATAGTTTTGAATAACAATCGCTTGAGAAGAAGTGAAAGTTTCGAAAATTGTACTTAAAGAAACGATTTCAGGATACAATATTATATTTTATACCTTACAATATGCGACAATTGGTATAAGATTGTGACCAAAATTGCGACACTATAAGATGAATAGCGGGAACATGTTGATCATATTTTAAGAAAAAGTGTCGACTAAAAATAAAAGAAAAAATTCTTTTGTAACCAGTGGCACATGACACTAGAGTATCTGTATTGAAAGACATGAGATTTATGATTTCTGAATGTTCGAATTGTGAGAATTTGTTTTTGGTAGCGTTTTTGAGTTGCAGCACTTTATGGGCTGCAGATATTTCAGACGGTGACGGTTTCCAAGGCAACCGATTTTAGGACTGGTATATCTCGATTTTACTTTGGTCCTTTGCTCCTTTTGTTTCTCTTTTTGTGCAACCGTCATAAAAAATCTGAAGTTGACAGGAAATTGCCCAGGATGACTAGAATAACAATATATTAAAGTTCTAGAAAAGACCTTTAGTGACACACACACACGCGCGATACTTTATATTAATATTTAATTATAAACTTTAATTATAAACTATTTAATTGTAAATATTAATTATAAACATCTCTCGGCGCTCAATCTCGTAGAATAATCCGGCATCTCCGACTTCGTATGTATCGCAGAAAAATTTCTTTGAACGATACGAGATTTTGACTGTTTTATCTTGTTTTCTTTCAGGTAAGTAGTGGTCTCCGATCGTTTGAAAAGCGAGCGGCTCGGAGCCGCCGCACCGGACGGGAGATATGCGCAGCAAGCAGCAGCCCAGGCCTTCTTTCCGATGGCCGCAGCAACGCGGTGATAACCTTACCGGTAAATATTCATATGTAACATTTCACGCACGCACGCACGCAAGCACGTGCTTTGTTCTTTATTTTGCATTCTGCACTTCTCACGTCCCGACGAGATACCGCTTCTTCGCGTGCCGCGTAGCGGTATACTGCTCGCGCGATAGAAGCGAGATCAATCGGTGATTAACTGGCGCTGCACTTGTAGCCATTTGAAAATATTAGTTTAGAAGGTTTCTTGATTATTTGCAACGTTTTATTAGTTGTAGAATTATTTTGCTATTTAATTGGAATTTTTTTTTTATTATTTTGCCTTGCAACGTTTAAGTGTCTAACGTAAAATATGCAGGTATCTAAATTTTAATTAGCATATTTTTCGTATTATATTTTGTTTTGGCAGGTGTAAAATTAGATTCAGTGTGACTGTACAAATTTTATTTTTACGAACGCGTAGTTAATAGCGATAGTAATTCCGACACCTAATCATTTCGAAGATCATGAATTCGTGTAATATTTAGAAACATCTACGTGTCGCGATTCATTAATCGATTATCGTGGACGGACCGGTTTGGCCTAGCCGTAAATTGGATATTTACGATTTATAAGCGAGGAATAGAGCAAACGCGATCGGTAACGTGTTGTGGCAATCGATAAGCGCGACCAAGTGTTACAAACGACATTCTGGGCGAACAGGTATTGACTGAGGTTTGCTCATATGTCCTTCGGTCGGACTATCCTTCACGATTATGATGTTCTTAAGTAACGTTCAATCTATTGCCTTGAAAGAACTCAGTAAATCATGATTTCTGTCTCTCATTTTCCTCTTGATATATGTCTGCATTAGAACTCGACGTTGTTTCTTGGAAACGGCGGCAACCATTCCCGCGTTTATTATAATTAACCAGAATAATCGAGTGTGATTAATCGAGTGATATCGATTAGTTGAAAGTTGAAAAAAGGATATAAAAATCGTAAAAGATATAGTACAAGTATTAGACGTAATACAATGCCGATACTCTTAAATTGTTTACATGACTTTCAACTTGGACTCGCATTGCGCAAACGACATCTCATTGTGCAACGTCATTATATTTTGTTACGAATATTATGAAATAAATTCGACCGCAGGATTCACAAATTTACATTTGCGGTTTATTTACCAAAGCTCGATGTCGATTAAGGGAGAACAATTTGCGTCATTTTTTATCCTTTTTGCCGACATGGACACGCTATAAGTTTATAACCGCGATTATCTTACACCGTTTTGGAGAGACGAGTGTATATTATAATATACATCACATATTTCGTTAATAATTGTAGATAATATGATTGATCAGATTGAAATAGAGAGGAACAAGTCAAACGGAAAGTTCAAATCTAACGGAAGTAGTTATTCGGCAAGCAGAGCAACTGGTTGATCCTTTTTACTTGCAAATTCGACGTAATTCATACGTGTGTACACGCAATCCTGTGCGAAAGTTGCTAGCTTTATAACGCCGGAATTCCTGACGATAGAAAAGTAATTAGCGAGACAGGAGAAACTAATAAATCGAACGATAAATCGAAAGCGGTATTGTGTAACCGGCCGCTCTCAAAGGCAAAGACAATTCAAACTAAGCAACCGGTTGACTCGTCTCACTTGCAAATCCAACGTGACACTGTAACTCATTACGTCGCCTGAACGTCGCCTCGAAATGGAGCCGCAAAGCGATAACCGGGCGACTTTCCTTGATCTGTCTGCACCGTGAAACGGATAATCAGCGCCGATTTCTCAGCTCGCAAACCTTGTCGGAAATCCGCGAATTATCGTGAGTTAGTTTAAGGCGGCTGCAAATAGCGGAGCTTGTGCGTTGGTATTCCAACTTCGAATCTGGCTTGACGGAAACAACGTTGATTTGATTAACGTTATAAATATTTTTAAAAACCCGTAGGAAATATAAATGAATTGTTTTTTTATTAAGATGTTTTTGTATTTGATTATATATTTGCCATCCGCAGCATATTTTCCAATAATATCTGCAATGTCCGTAATGCTGGTAATACTGTTGTCTCGAGTGCATTACGCTCGTGTGGCTATTGTCATCGGGTAACTGTCGTTTTACTTGCTACACATACAAATACATCAAGTATTGTATAATAGCGAGGGCTGGAAAGGCAGGACTGGCTGTTCATTCTAAATCAATTACTGAGGCGGTTTCTGTCCCGTGTTATTCTTCTTCATCGTCCAACTAATTACATGTAATACGATGTTACATGGTAAATAAATCTCACGGTTCATGCAATAAATAAATTACTTTGAAAATTCGGACCTATATTGAGTGGCGCAAATGTGATTGAATTGCCTTTCGTCGAGACCCTTTATACTTTTTAAAAACGACTTTGGCGTCAGCTGAAATGATAAGACCCGGTTGTTTTCATTCTGTTGATACGTAGAGATGCGTATCTCATTCGCAATAAAGCATTCGATGGTGCATATTTTTCGCTTTACGATCCACTATGTTACATTTGGTGTATTTGTTGCTGACTCCGCAGAAGTTCGACATCTTTGGACGTCGCCAGATTCGAAGAGATTTAGTTGTAACAGTGTCTTCGAAAAGTTGGTCGACTTCCTTTGCCGGATATAATCTCGACTAATGTACCTCGTAGTTGAACTCTTTGTAAATGCGACTCACGAAGAAATTCTCTGCAGACGAACTTTGCAAAGGGATTCTCCTCGCAGTCGTTTTTGAGAGGTACGTTCGCCGTAAATGCGCTTAACGAAAATACCGCTGTCTTCGGTACGCGATGGCAATCGGTCAACGGAGACGGAATTGAAGAAACATTTACATGTTATCGCAAACTCGGAGGCAATTAAGGATAAATCACAGTTTTAATAAGATCTTCGAAGAGAAGAGAACCGCTTAATTAAAATTCGCAAATTCTATAATGATATCTTCATAACACCTGTTATTGCGCAATGCGTTTTTTGAAACGAAGTACGTTTCTTTGCATCTTTTTATCAAGCAAAATAACATTTGCGAAATTATTTTTTGTCAGAATATATCTCTTTTTAAGAGCAACGGCTTTTAACTTTCTCCGATCGAATTACAACTCGTGAAATTATTTTTGCAGTAATGTTTTTTTTTTCTCCGTTCTCTCGATTCGCTTGATATTAATTACTTCGCGCTCGTTCTGAGAAACGCTTTTAAGGAATGCGTCGAACGCGACGTATTTAGAATAATAATAACTATCGCGAAAGAAACGTATTAAAATAAAAGGAGCGCCGGAGAATTTACGAGACGTATCAGGCTTCCTTCGGATCTCGCGGCGCCCCGGCGCGTACTCGTTTAATGGTTAATAATTTTGCGGAGGCCCGTCGCCGTAAAAACGCGTTTGAGAAAATTAACGCGCTTTAATCAGCGAAATACATCAGCAGATACTTGAAAAGGCCACTCGTGCTCGGCTGTACGTCCCGCAATCGTGATACAACCGTCGTCGGCAGCGGCGATAAATTTCGCGCGAAACGTGTCATCGTAGCCGCCCCGATAAAAGTTACAAGGGCACGATCGGTCGGTTCGGAAACAGTGTCGGTCTCGTTCCAGGTACGCTACGATCCCATCGGGCATTCACGCGTCCACGCATTTCTAGCGGTAACGATGCACCTGTCTGGCATTGTGTGTACTTTGCGTACGTATGTATGCAACGACTCCGTGAAAATTAGCAACAGCCGGGATTTATTGCCACGTGCTCGGCTCAGCTCTCATCGCTCGCAAAAAATATATGGCAGCCGCGTTCATCGCTCGATTATGGTACATTTACCGAGCGCGGAAATTCCTCTTTGCCATCGCATCGCGGCCGATTGGGATTATCAGTCAACAACTGGAATACGAACCTTTTTCCTGCAGTTTTTTTGAACAGGAAAAATGCGTAAACTACTGTGTACTGTATTTGGAAAGATCGTTTTACCTGTAATTCAATATTTTCTAATGCGCGTAGCGATTTCAATTTTATTACATATATATTTTACATATGCAAATTTGTTCAAATTAAGAGAAATTATATCCAATATTTTCTTCAAAAATTTTCCAACAATGAAATAAAAAAAATTTGAGATTTTATAAAATTTGATTTAATCAAATTGTTTGTTTCTCAAAAAATAGCGAAAGTAAGTTGAATGCAATGTTTTGTAGCAAGCTTATGACACGTTATCACTTACAGTTAGTGTCTTTGCGATTTGGCAGTGAAAAAGTGCAATTTTACTCTTTTATATCGGAGTGAAGATAAATTAATGAAACCAAGGCTAAGGTTTTCTCGGGAAATCGCTGTCAATCTGGCACGATAATTTATATTTCCGTTGATGTAAATCTTCTTACTTGACAGCTACGAGCCCAACGTAAGCGTATCCAAGTGCAGTCGCGCTTTCACTTTACAGAAGGCCCATTAATTCTAATTTCGCGTCATTGATGGTGATTTTACTTCTCGCCATTTCATGTTTTTCTCGAATGTCAGTTTCAACCAGTTCATTTTATTATCGACTCGTCATTACGGCATTGACGATTTATAATCATTTTTATTAAATACACATATAACTTTTTCTATAAAACAATAATTTTATAATTCTGGTATAAATCATATTTAATTCTACATACTTAAAAAAATATTATATTGCATTTATTTTTTTTGATCAGATATATTTTTTATAATCTAGCATAATCATATTACTCGCGACGGTAATTACTGTATAGAAATAATTTATTATTTATCTTTTTTTATCATTGAACATTACAAAATAAGAAACTTGTAATTAATAATTACGAGGAAAATATTACCGTACGTCAGATTCGTGTGTATTGGTAATAAGATCGCGAAGAACGCACGCCGGAAGCGGAGGCCGCATGCGTGCGTGCGACAAACACAGCGTCGTCGAAAGACAACCTTCCCGTGCCACCCCCGGCCGGCGATCGTCTCGCTGGGCGATAACCCGGTGGACGACGTGACAAGTGAAATTCTGTATCCACGAGCCGGTTGGCGGGGGATATCGGCGCA